CACTTATGACTGTGTCCAGAATTCTAAACCCTCTGAAAGTGAGGCCCTTGATTCATTTCTTTCCCAGGCCTAACAGGGCCCAGTGCTGAGTAAGCACTCAAGATACTCAGTGAACTGAATGAGATCAAGGGTGAGACCTCTATGGGAAGATTTAATGCTTGGAGTTGCAGGGCCTGCTGACACCGTTGCTAGGAGCCTCTTTGCAGGCAACAGCTGCAGGCTCCTCCCCCACTTGCTAGCCCCTTCTGCAGGTGGTAGAAGCAGAGCAGACGATAAGAGTATATTGCTACTGGTACTACCAGGAAAAAAACTGAACAACTAAAAAGAGAAAAAAAATCCCATCACAGTGCCAGCTCTTGTAACCCACACTGTTCTCCTGCCAGCACTCAGTGCCAGATGCTAAGGAGATGTCTCATCACTCTAAGCTCCCTTTCCTGGAGGGGTGAGCATCTGGTCCCTGTAGTATCACAGACCTTAATCCCGATGTGGAGAATAAGCACTGTCCTTTAGTCTTTACCCTTGTGCTTGCCTATTTAGAACCAACTCTATCTGCAGATCAGAAAGTAGACAGAGGCATGGCTCTAGAAAGAAATGACCTGATTTGAATAGGAGGCAAATTCTATGGAAGATCACATCATACAATAAATCAGCATACATGAGTGCCCTCAACAATGAAGTGGGGCCTGCACTGTTCCTTATCCTCAACCTCAGTAATGATGCTCCACAGGCTTTAAAGTAAAACAGATGGACAGACGGACAGATAGCTGGGTGGATCAACGGATAGATGACCATATCCAAGGAAAACACTGAAAGTATGATCCTATCCAGCAGAGGGCACAAGCAGCTTGGGACCAGAGTATGGATGCTGATCCCTGTCCAAAATCTGGGCAGTTTCAGCTGCTGGGAATCATTTTCAAAAAAGGGCTGTGATAACTATATTTTTTCTTTACATTATTCATCAAATGCCATTTCTCGCTCTCTTTTTTTTTTTTTTTTTGGCAGAACTGGGGACTGAACTCAGGCCATTGTGCTTGCCAGGGAAGTGCTTATTCCTCTGAGCCATCTCCCCAGCCCTATTTCTATTTCTAAATAATTAAAAAAGTTTACTAGTTCCTAAAAATCAGACACATTATTAGTCCAGACAACAGCCCAAGGTCTCTCTTCTGCTATATTTGACAAACTGACCTTGGCTCAGGGAATCCTGGTGACCTCTGATTTCCATTACTAACTGTGTATATAAGCTGCATTCTCCCAATAAAGTACTTCATGGGAGTTTGTGGGTACTATAAAATGCTCTGAGAATTAAATTAATGTTTTAATCTTAGAAAGTTAAGAACTGTAAAGGTAAGACAAACTGCACAGATCATTTCTACTTGACTCTGCTTAGTTCTATTACACATGGTGGCCTATTATAAACTGCTCCTGATGAGAAAGGGCCTAGGTTTTTTTGTTGGTTTTTGTTTTGAGACAGGGTCTCACTATGTAATTGAGGCTGGTTTTGAATGCTGTGTGTGACCCAAGCTAGCCTGGAACTCACAGCAATCCTTGTAACTCAGCATGCTAAGTGCTGGGATTACAGATGTATATCACCACTTCATAAAGGGTCTGTTCATGGCAAAAAAAAACCTCATAAAAATTGGAAAATTAAAAGTATGTACAAAGATAACAATGTCTAGCTGGTATAATGGTACTTACCTGCATTCTTAGCACCCTGGGAGGAAGAGACAAGAGGAAAACAAGTTCAAGCTCAGCCTGAACAACTTAGTGAGATTGTCTCAAAATACAAAATTTAAAAAGGTTTAGTTAGGGATGTAAACTGGTATAAAGTCCCTGCATTCAAACCCTAGTATTACCATTAAAAAAAAAGTAGGGGGCAGGGAGATGGCTCAGAGGAATAAGCATTTCCCTGGCAAGTGAAAGGGCCTGAGTTCAATCCTCAATTCTGGAAAAACAAAACAAAAAAACACCAGTGTAGATACATCTGCATTAGCTAGACGTCTATTAGATCAACACGTATTCTGATGGGTCTCCTAGGTCACTGCACCTTTGTAACCTACAACATCAACAAAATATTGGGCCAGGGAGATAGTTCAGTAGAATATGCGCTTGCCTGGCAAGCACAAGGGCCTGAGTTCAATCCCCTGTACCACCAAAAAACAAAAAACAAAAACAAACAAAAAACAAACAAACAAACAAAAAACCCTACTAAGTCAAACAAAATATATTACAGGGCCAGGGGGATAGCTCAGTAGAATAAGTTCTTGCCTGGAAAGCACAGTCTTGAGTTCAAAAAAATAAAAAAATAAATAAATAAATAAAATAAAATAAAAAATAAATTACAATACTGCATATTTTTTTGTTTTTCCTTTGGTGGTACCTGGGATCGAATTCTTATTCCACTGAGCTATTGCCCCAGACCTACTTATATTCTGCTAGCTGACTGACCCAAAAACATACCATTTCAAATAAACAAAATATCTTACTGCATTAAAAACTCAGCTCTCTGCAACTTTGAATGGAGGTAAGATAACACAACTAAACAAGATAATAATGAAATGTGATACTCTTTTAGACTTTCAAGCATGATTTACTTAAATCACATGAACTAAGCTGGGCATGGTGGTGCATGCCTGTAATCCCAGCACTCCGGAGGCTGAGGCAGAAGCTTTGTGAGGGAGGCTACAAAATGAGTTCAAGGTCAGCTGAACTGCCCCAGTCTCAAAATCAATCAATCACAAGAACTCACAAGAGGAAGAAAAGGAAGGTAATAATGTTAAAACTGAGCTGAGCTGTGTGCAGTGGCACATGCCTATTATCCCTGCATTTGCTAAGTTAACACAGGGCAATTACCAGGAGTTTAAGCCCAGCCTGGGGTACAGTGAGTTCAAAGCCAGCCTGAAGTACACAGCAAGACCCTAGTTCAAAACAAAACAACCAAAGGTAACTCTGTGGTTAATTTGAAGGAGAGAAAAAAAAAAAAAAATCTAACTTTAGTAAGTAAAGTAAGTTTACAGTCCCCTAGGAATAGCAGGCCACAGCAATGACTCATGTTAATTCCGGATGTGATGGCTACCAGTTATTAAGTACATACTAGTTGCCAAGCACTGTGCTAGGTATATATCTCACATGTAGCCATCAATCCTACGAGGTCATTGCTGCCATTTAATAGGTGAAGCAGCTCAGAGAATTACAGTAACATAACTAAGGAACAGAGGTAGCAAGTGGCAGAGCCAGAATGCAGTCTTGGGGCTGAATTACTCCAAAGTTCAAGAGTTTTCCACTGCATGATGCTCTTCTTAAAAATAAAAATATGACATCAGCACTAAGGATTAAAAAAAATGTTAAAAATTAACCTCACCCACCTGTCTGATCCCTCTACTACTTCCAGCTCAAGTCAGGAGGAGGAGAATAGGGAGAAAATAAAAAACACTGGCCATGAGAGGAAAGAGCTGGTGGGAACACAGCCAGGGCAGAGTTACAATGAGGCCTCCTCCCTGCTTTCTGCTAAAGCAGAAATTAGCCACATTCATACACCAGAAAAACATCCCTCAAGCCCTGACCTTCCATCCCAAGGCCATAGACACCTTTGTTTTATTTTAAAATGTAGTATTCTCAAGAAAATTTCTAACATAAAAACCTGAAGAGAAACTACCTTTAGCCAACTAGCGATCCACCATCATTGTTCCACCATCATTGTTCTGTGGCACTGCCATTATTCAATTTTCCCTTTTTTTTTTTTCCTTGTAACTTGTACTTCCCCACCTGCCTTCTCACCTAAGGATCCCGGGGTCCTGCCAGGAGAAGGTCCTTCCCTAAGCTCCCTGGGATCACATCACACCCAGATATCTACTTTCCAGCCCTTCCCCCCAGCAAGCCAGGCTCTCCAAGATCGCAACACTCACCAACTCTCCAGCTTCTCACACAAAATCCAACCCCTACGGGGAAAATCCTCACCTCTTTCACCCACTCCCAGCTTCTCCGAGCCCCTCCTCTCAGACCTCATATCCTTCCAATCCTTTTGTGGCCTTCTGAAGTGTGGCTCCCTGTCGCCAGACCTATTCAGTTCTCGGCCTGCCTACTCCCCATTCCCACACCATTCCACCCCGCACCCTTCTCGCCTGCACCATCCTTTCTTCCCTCCCTCTCACCCGGTCGCTTTTCTCTCCAGGAACCCAATCAATCCCTCCAGCCCTTTCCTTGTGTCCTCAACCTTCTTAACCCCTTCCTACATGGCCGTCTCCGAACTTCACAGCTCACAGCTCCAACTTTTTTATTCCCTGCCCCCAAGACCCCACCCCTTCCCCTATTCCTTTCCTCTAAGCACCCCTCAATTCCATTCCCTTTCCCCTTTCCTCAGTACAATCCTGCGTCCCTCTCAATTGCCCCACCCGAGCTAACCTGTTCTCTGCACCCACCCTGGCGGTGAACCCCAATTCTCTCACACCCCGCGGCCCATCCCAGCACCCCGCCCCCACTCTCAACCCCCCAACTCGTCCTTCAGGGCCCGCCCCTCCCCCCAACCCTCCCTCACAACCCGCCCCCGCCCCCGCCAGCACCCCTGGCTCCGCGAGCGGCCCTGCCCGCGGCCGCCACCTACCTGTGCTCCTGCCTGGGGCAGCGAGCGGCAGGCGGCACCTCGGTAGCGGGTACCCACTCCCGCCGCGCAGCTGATGGGAAGCGACTCGGCACCCCGGGCACAAAGCTGGACAGCGTGGGACACCGAGAGGGTGGCAGGAGGGACGGGTCGGGGGGCGACCTGGCGCCGTGGGACCGCGGGACCGGCGGGGCAAGGGGAGGGCTGGGCCGGGGAGGCGCGCTTGCGCGGGGCCGGCATGAGGGGCGGGGCCGGCTTGAGGGCGAGGCCCAG